CAAGTCATACCACGCGCCTCCTCGTCTCGTCAATCGGCCTGACCAGTACAGGCCGTAGTTTGGCATCGTTTGGTATCTCTTGGAAGCGAGGGTGGTCAAAAGCGAGGTAGGTTTGTTTTCCCCCTATGTATGGAGTCGGAGGTGGTAGGTGCAAGCTCATGGGGTTGGTCCCAGCACAGCTCTGTGGCAAGCGTGTGCAGTGAGTGGATCTCCTCTTGCAGGGCACGCCTCGGAAGGCAGCGGAGCAGTGGTCGCATGCACGTGGACGTGTGCATGCGCGGGCTCTCGATCCATGCCTGTTCTTCATCCTGGGTTCTTCGTCTTTGTCTTTGCCTTTGTCTTTGCCTCAATATCTGTCTCTGTCTCTATCACTGCCCCTGCCCCTGACCCCGTCTCTGTGCACTGTGTGTCTGTCTCCCTTTATGTCTTATGCCTCTGCCTCCGGCCTGGTCATTGCCCCTGACCCTACCTCTGCTCATGTCCATATCTTACCTCTGGCCAGGTCCATGCCTCTGTCCACGTTTCTGTTCCTGCTCATTGCTCACCCTCCGTCCTGTGGGGGACTTTGTGGCCGTTCTGTCGTTGCGTCCCAGTTTGCCCCGCTCCTTGTGAGGCAGCGGCGCCAAGCTTGAGCCTCGCCCCTCTCCGAGGCTCCCAGAACCAGAGAAGGAGGAGGAGGAGGAGGAGTAGGAGGAGGAGGACGAAAGGCGGATGAGGAGGAGGAGGAGGAGGAGGAGCAGGATAATGAATGGAGGAGGAGGAGGAGGCGGAGGAGGAGGAGGAGGAGGAGGAGGAGGAGAAAGAAGCACATGCCTGATTGGCAGACATAGGCTGTCCGCACATGCCTGATTTGTCAGGCTGGTGTGACGAGCCTTGGAGGAGCAGAAGGACGGGGCAGTGACCATGCTGGCCACTTGGGCCAGAAGAGGTCCTGGGCTCAATGAGAAGCACGGCCGCGAGCTGGGGCAGTGGGCGTTGAAGCCTGAGCCTTGCGCCGCGACCTGCCGATTCGGAGAGCAGGTCTTAACCGTAAGCGCTAGGTTCTTGACCGTAAGCGTGATACCAGACTAATGTACCATACTAATGCATCAGTTTAATGTACCAGACTAATGATGGCACCAGACTAATGGCACCAGGCTAATGTAGCATAGTGGCACCAGACTAATGGCACCAGACTCATGTACCAGATTAATGGCACCAGACTAATGTACCAGACTGGCACCAGGCTAATGTCACCAGACTAAGATACCAGACTAATGGCACCAGACCAGTGACACCAGCCTGATGACACCAGGCAAATGTACCAAACAAATGTACCAGACTGGCGTACCAAACTAATGTACCAAACATATGTACCAGACTGGTGTACCAAACAAATGTACCAGACTGGTGTGCCAAGCTAATGGACCAAACTAAGGTACCAAGCTAATAAACCAAACTGGTGTATTGGACTCATGGCGCCAGACTGCTGGCACCATGGTCATGGCGCTGCAGGGGAAGTCGTGGCGCTGCAGGAGAAAATCGTGGCGCTGCAGGACAAGTCGTGGTGCTGCAGGGAAAACGTCGTGGCGCTGCCGGAACAAGTCGTGGCACTGCAGGATAAAATCGTGGCGTTGCAGGAGGAAGTCGTGGCGCTGCAGACAAGTTATCGTGGCGCTGCAGGGCAAGAAGTCGTGGCGCTGCAGGAAAGAGTCGCGGCGCTGCAGGAGAGAGTCGTGGCGCCGCAGGGAAAGTCGTGGCGCTGCAGGAAAAAGTCGCGGCGCTGCAGGAAAGAGTCGCGGCGCTGCGCTGCAGGAAACAGTCGTGGCGCTGCAGGAAGAAGTCGCGATGCTACAGGAAGTCGTGGCCCTGCAGAGCACAAGTCGTGACGCTGCATGCAACAATCGCGGCGCTGCAGGACAAAAATCGCGGCGCTGCAGGCAGAAACGTCGTGGCGCTGCAGGAATTTTCGTGGCGCTGCAGGAGAAAGTCGCGGCGCTGCAGGAAAAGTGGTGGGCTGGACAAGTCTCGGCGCTGCAACATAACAGTTGGGGCGCTGCAGAAAGAAGTCGTGGCGCTGCAGGAAGAAGTCGTGGTGCTGCAGGACAAATCGTGGCGCTGTCGGAAAAGAGTCGCGGCGCTGCAGAAAAGTCGTGGCGCTGCAGGGAGAAGTCGTGGCGCTGCGGGAAACTGTCGCGGCACTGCAGGACAACGTCGTGGCGCGCTGCGCTGCAGGAGAGAAGCCGTGGCGCCGTAAAAAAAAGTTGTGGCGCTGCAGGGGAACGCAGTGGCGCTGCAGGAAGATGTCGTGGCGCTGCAGGGGAAAGTTGTGGCGCTGCAGGAAAAGTCGCTGCGCTGCTGCAACAAATCGTGGCGCTGCATGGAGTCTGCAGGAAAGAGTCGCGGCGCTGCTGGGAAACTCGTGACGGTGCAGGAAAGAAGTCGCGGCGCCGCGCTGCAGGACAAGTGGTGGCGCTGCAGGCAAAAAGCCGTGGCGCTGCAGGGGAAGTCTTGGCGCTGAAGGAAAAGTCGTGGCGCTGCAGGAAACAGCCGCTGCGCTGCAGGAAAAAGTCGTGGCGCTGCAGAAAAAGTCATGGTGCTTAAGGAAAAAGCCGTGGCTGAAAAGAAGTCGTGGCGTTGCAGGAGGAAGTCGTGGCGCTGCAGGAAACCGTCGTGTTGCTGCAGGAAAAGTTGCCTCGCTGCAGGAACTGATGCTACTGGCGCCAGACTAATGGCGCCAGGCTAGCGGTACCACTCGAATGTACCAGACTTATGTGCCAGACTAATGTACCAGCTTAGTGTACCACACTAGTTGCACCAGATTGATGTGCCAGACGAATGTACCAGACTTATGTACCAGACTAATGTACCAGGCTAATGTAGCAGACTAATGTCACCATATTAATGTACCAGACTAATGGCACCAGGCTAATGGCACTAGACAAATGGCAGCAGACTCATGGCACCAGAGTAGCCGTACCAGACTAATGTACGAGACTAACGTACTGGACTAGTGTACCAAGCTGATGCACCAACTTCGCGTACCAGACTAATCTACCAAATTGGTGTACCAGACGGACAGCACCAGAACGATGTACCAGACTAGTGTACCACGTATTGCACCAAACTCATGTACCAGACTAATGGCACCAAACGAAAGTACCAGACTAACGTACCAGACGAAGGCACCAGACGAATGGCACCAGGCTAATGACACCAGACCAGACTAATTGCACCTGTCGAATGGCGTCATACTAATGGCATCAGACTCGTAACACTAGACGAATGGCACCAGACTAATGGCATCAGACGAATGGCGCCAGACTCGTGGCACCAGACTAGCCGTACCAGGCTAATGTACGAGACTAACGTACCAGACTAGTGCAGTACATTCATGTACCAGACTAATCTACCAAACTGGTGTGCCAGACTGATGGCACCAGGGCAATGTACCAGACTAGTTTACCAAAATTTGCACCAAACTCATGTACCACACTATTGGCACCAGACCAATGCACCAGACTGACGTACTAGACTAATGTACCAGACTAATGGCACCTCACTGATGACACCAGACCAGAGTAATGGCAACAGAGTAGTGGCACCAGACGAATGGCACCATATTGATGGCATCAGACTAGTGGCGCCGGACTGGCGGTACCAGATTAATGTACCAGACTAACGTACCATACTAATGTACCAGAGTAACGTACCAGACTAGAACGCCAGACGCCTTGGTCTGATGCTTCAGTCTGGTGCTTTAGTCTGTCGCCATCAGTCTGGTGCCACTCGTCGGGTGCGTTAGTCTGGTCTCTACATGAATCTGGCATATTCGTCTGGTACATTCGTCCGGTACAGTAGTCTGGTACACTAGTCCGGTACATGAGTCTGGTACACTCGTCTGGTACATTAGTCTGGCACCGCGCTTACGGTTAAGAGCTACCCTTGCCGATTCGCCCCACCGCCCATTACCCACCCGTCGCCCGCCCGCCCACCGCCCAGCACCCATCACCCATCACCCACCCACCGCCCGCGTCGCCCACCACACGCCCGCCCCACCCGCTGGCCCGCCTGCCGCCCATCGTCTGCCCCCCGCCCCCCGCCCGTCACCCACCCACCGTCTACCCGCCACGCGCCCACCGGCCAGCCGTGCCGTCGTCCGCCGACCAGCCCACCGCCCACACCATGGACCGCGGCTCAACCGGCGGACGGCGGCCACGGCATTTTCGAGAGCAACGCTTGGGAGTGTTAGTGGCGAGCGAGCACCCTTCACCTGCCGTTTACCCACCGCACACCCACCACCCGCCCACCGCTGGACCCCCCCCAGACCCACCACCGACCCACCATAGAACCACCACCCCGCCATCTCGCTCCACCCGTTCACCTGCCCACCATCGACACACCACGCACCAGCCACTTACCAACGACCCACCGCTCACCCTCCCTTGCACCCACCACCAACACACACTCCACACACACACCACATTCACCACCAAGTGCGTGAAGGACGATGAAGGAGCAGGGGGGATGGAGGAGGGAGGTCGACGAGCAGGAGGAGAAGGAAGTGGAGGAAGAGGAGGCGGAGGAGGCGGAGGAGGAGGAGGAGGTGGAAGAATAGGAATACGATAGGGGGATGATGGATTGTTACAGCAAGGTGGGGAGAGCCAGGGTCACGTAACCTTCAAGGCGGTTGACCGCGGGTAGCCAGCGTAGTGCTTGTGTGGCAGACCCCCTAGCTCAGCAATACTTCCAATTCTACGCATTCAGAAGTTTGGGCATGACGACGACTACCACTCCAGGACAAAGTCCTGAGACTTGTTTGGGATCCGAGTGGAATTCGATTCACACACGCAAGTGCCAACCACGCGCCACATTGCTTCCAGGCATGCTTCCAGGTCGTCAATCACTTTCGTAGATGCTCCAGCTTTGAAAATCGTGTGGCGAGGGCTTGCTTTCGGAAGTTTGAAAACCCATTCCCGCGCTGCCATTCTGGCGTTTTGACGACCTGCTCGGGGCCCCGACAATGAGTGCGAAGCAGGCGGGGTGCCGCAGAGTCTGGGCATTCTCCAGGGCGTCCTCTGCACGCGCCAGGCTGAAGCGCGGGGCAGTGGAGGAGCAAGTCGTCGTGGACGTCGGCATGTTCGGGCATCCGGTGCAGCGAAACCCTCTGACACACGGCGGGGAGGGCGGAGAATGCGGGCAGCGGGACACTGCAGGCGGGGCGTTCCAGAAGTGGCCTCGCCTTCGAGGGTCGAAGGAGGGCCTCGCCTTCGAGGGCGGCGGACGCCAAGTGGGGCCGCCCCTCGCCGGCGTCAGCAAGCGGGGGGGAAGAAGTCGCTCCCGAGAAATACATTTCTTTTGTGGATGCGCTGGCGACTGAGGTCAAGCGTTTGTGGACCAAGCGAGGCTTGGCCAACCCCTTGGTCTTTGTCGAGTTGTGCCAGTCCCAGACCCCCGACGTCGTGATTTTTTCACAACGTCGACCCCCAGAGGTCTGGACCCCTTCCCCGGGACCGGTTTTTCGTCCCGAGCCTTTTTTTGACGGTCCTGAGGCCCGGCGAGGGCCCCCGGAGGCTGAACATAACGAAAAACCTCCCGCCGTGCTTTTTTCACTGCGCGAGGAGGTCTGGGGCGGCTCCCGAGAAGTGCCGTTTTACTTGTGGAGGCAGGGCTGCCAGAGCTGGCCGCACGTGCACGGAGGTGCAGTCGGCTTCCGCTCTGGCCCGCGCGTCGGGCGCGGCCGCTCGTGCACGCGCGATCGCGCAGGGCGTACGTGTGTACCTCCTCCTCGTCGTCCTCCTCGTCGTCGTCGTCGTCGTCCTCCTCCTCGTCGTCGTCCTCCTCCTCCTCCTCCTTCTCCCCCCGTCGCTGCTCGTGCAGAGGAGGTGAGAGGAAAGGGCTGTGTAGCTTGTCCCCGACCAGGCTCCATCTGAGGGTCCCTGGCCTCGCGTACAGGAGGGCCAGTGGCGATGCCGCCACGCCAAGCCATGTCTCCGGGCGGTCCCCCCAGGGCGATTCCACGGGGTTCCTCGGTGTTCTCCAGGGGTTTCCCAATTGCTTTGCCCGTTTGGTGACTGTCGGGAACATCTTTGGGGATTGTTAGGGGTGTACGGGGGCCTTCTGCGGGCCCCTGGGGCGCCTCTTGGGGCCTCTTGGCGCCCCTTGGAGGCCTCCGAGGGGGGCGCCCTCGGCCATCAAAGGCAAGCTTTACAGTTCATCGGGCCGTCTTGGACCAGCTTGGGCCAGCTTGGCACCATCTTGGGGCGTCTTCGTGCAGTCTGTGGGCCGTCCCATGGCCTGGCACCGGTGGGCCCGAGCTCTTGGGGGCGCTCTTCGGCCATTTTGGGGCTTCGTTGGGGCCCTCTCAGGGCTCCGCTGGGGCCTCCGTGGGCACACCGCGGGGCCCGAGAAGCCCACTGGATCTCACAGAGAGACTCTGGCAGTCTTGTGGGCCTCAGGGGGGGGCGTGCTCGGCCGATGAAATGCCATGTGTGCAGTCCATCGGCGGATCTCGGACCACCTTGGGCCACTTTGGCACCATCTTGGGGTGTCTTGGGGCAATCTCTGGGCAATCGTATGGCCTGGCGCCGATTGGCCCGCTCTCTTGGGTCGCTTATGGGCCCTGTTGGGGCTCTCTTGCTGGGGCCCTATTCGGTATCCCGCGGGGCTTGAGAAGCTCATCGATTCCCACAGAGGCAAGAATTAGAGACACACAAGAAGCAAGAACCACACAGAGGAGTCATTCAGCCATCTAGACAGTCGTCGAAGTTAGTTCGGCTAGCTAGCTGGTGCCATCCTGGGTCGTCCTGAGGTAATTTTGAAACAGTCTCGAAGTCATTCGAAGGCCGTCTTGGAGCCAGCATGGGGCTTGATAGACATTGACCCACGCTCTTGGGCGCTCTCGGCGCTCTCTTGGGGCGCGTTGGGGCCCAGTTACGTCCGCAGACCCCCCAGGGCCGCCCTTGCTCGCGCGGACTACATACAAGCAGCTACTCTTCTTTGCCCGAGCCACCTTTGTGGATGATCTAACATGCCAGTGGCCTGCTGGGCTGACGAGGCTACGAGGGACCGCGGCCTCGGGAGCGCGGAACCTTCGTTATTTGCCAGGACTCGTGGCCGCGGGAGCGCGGATCCCAGTTATCACTTATTGGACGGGGTCGACCCCTCGTGAGCGCGCGCCAATGCTCTTGTTGAAACAAGGACATGTTCTTAGTGGGCGGTGTGTGTGTGTGTGTGGTACCGTAACCCTCTGGCTCAAGCTTGGCCCATGCCGCAGCGGCTGGCGCCGCGGGGTTGGCGGTCGCCCGACCGCCGGCTTGCCTGCTGTGGGGCTCTGGTAGAGTTCCCGCCCGCCCCGCCGCCCCCCCCCCCCCCGCGCCGCCAGCGGCGCGCGGCCGCCAGCTGGGCCGCTGCCGCGGCTGCTGGCGCCGCGCCGCCGGGCCTCGCGGCCAGCCGCCCTGCCGCTGCCGAGGCTGTCGCGGCTGCCAGCGCCGGCGCCGTCTCCGCCGCCGCGGCGGCCGT